TTTTTTTTTTTTTTTTTTTTTTTTGAGACAGGGTCTCACTCACTCTGTCACCCATGCTGGAGTGCAGCATTGTGATCATGGCTCACTGCAGCCTCAACTTCCTATGCTCAAGCAATCCTCCCACCTCAGCCTCCCGAGTAGCTTGGACTACAGGTATGTGCCACCACGCAGGGCTAATTTTTGTATTTTTTGTGGAGGTGGAGTTTCACCATGCCACCCAGGCTAGTCTTAAACCCCTGGATTCAAGCGAGCCCCCCACCTCGGCCTCCCACAGCACTGGGACTACAAGTGAGGGCCACTGTGTCTGGCCTAACTGCCTCTTTTCCTTCAAGGCTTTGTTTAAACATCAGACTCTCAGCAAACCTGAGACAAACATTTACTGACATGTGCCACACACATGCTTTACCCAGGCTACCTCATTTAATCCTTATGACAGCCCTGTGGGGTGGGGACCATTACTGTCCCCATTTTACAGATGAGGAAGTTGAGGCCCAGAAAATTAAAGTTATGTGCATTTGTTCATGCATTCATACTATATTCATACATATGATCGGAGGTACTTATTTGTTTTGTTCACTTATTGTCTGTTTCTCACTGCCGGAATGTTTGGTTGTCTGTTTTGTCCATTGCTAAGGTCAGAAACCAAGGCAGAGTCACTGGACAGCAGCCTGAGGTGCTAAATTTGAGTTTGGGGCCCAGGTAGAAGGAGACCTGGGTTCTGACCGTACTGCTAACTTGCGGTGTGGTCCTAAGTACGTAGCCAACCCTTTTCAAACCTCAGGTCCCATCTGTCCACCAAAGGCCTGATTCCTGGTTTTCAATCCAACAGCCAATGGAATGGGGACACGTCCACACTGGAGATCCTTCACTTTCCCATGTGGGGTCCTTGCTCTGTGCCTGGGAGTTCCCCTGCACCCTTGAGAGAAGGCTCCTGGCTTGGTTCCCTGGCTCGTGAGGCTTGTGGGAGCAGACAGGTAAGGATGCTCATGTGTTGCAGCATGATACAGAGACTGGGGCAGGAGCCTGGGACACAGAAGGAAGCAAAGTCCTTGGAGAACACCAAGGAGCCCCTCTCCTTCCCCAGCCTGCATCCTCTGAGCTCTCGGCCCCTGAGCCCAGGTCCCAGGGATCCCGGAGGAGAGAACCGCCCTGTGAGGCATCTGAACAGAATGATTTCTCCCCAAACTCTGTCCCCAGCTGGACCTGCAGAGCCCTCTCCTGCCTGAGGTCCTACAAGTCCATCCCCGCTCATCTGCATGCCACCCATACTGAGTTCTTTCCACTTTTCCTTTGAGCTGCACCTTCTCTGGCTTCCAGGCTTCTGCCTGTGCTCTTCCCTCTGCCTGCAACACTGGTCCACTCCATTACTTTCCTTCCTTCCTTTCCTTCCTTCTTTCCTTCCTTCCTTCCTTCCTTCCTTCCTTCCTTCCTTCCTTCCTTCCTTCCTCCCTCCCTCCCTCCCTCCCTCCCTTCCTTCATTTGTTTGTTGAGATGGAGTCTTGCTCTGTTGCCCAGGCTAGAGTGCAGTGGCGTGATCTCGGCTCAACGCAACCTCTACCTCCTAGATTCAAGCAATTCTCCTGCCTCAGTCTCCCAAGTAACTGGGACCACGGGTGTGCACCACCATGCCCAGCTAATTTTAGTATTTTTAGTAGAGACGAGGTTTCACCATGTTGGCCAGGCTGGTCTCGAACTCTTGGCCTCAGGTGATCCACCCACCTCGGCCTCCCAAAGTGCATGAGCCACTGTGCCCAGCCTACTTTGCTTCTTTCCTTACCTGCCTGAAGTCTGCTCACCGTTTATGATTACGTGTTTATGATTACGTGTCCATATCGTTGGCTGCCCCTAGGAAGCCTTCTGGGACACCACACGTGGGATGATATGTGATCCTCTCTCTGATCCATTGCTTCACTGTCTCCCTCATTAGACTCTAAATCTCAAGGGCAAGCTCCTCAGCCATTTCTGTATCCCCGGCATTCAACCTTGGGCTTGGCCTATAGGAAGTCTCCATAAATATTTACTGAATTGGTAAACGAATGTATGAAAGAATGCACATAACTTTTCCAAGCCTCAGCTTCCTTATCTGTAAAATGGGGATGATGATGGTCTCAGCCTCACAGGGTTTTTGTAGAAATTCAATGAGGTAGCCTTGGAAAAGCACTATGGGTGTGACACGTAGTGGGTAGTAGGTGGTCAATACATTTTGTCCAATTAGTTCCACCTGCTGTGAAGCAGCTCCACTACTGGGGCCAACTGAAAAATACCTAAGCATTCAAGAGGTAGATGACACGAATTCTTTATCCCCAGTAATGCTGATTCTATAGCTGGGACTGGGATTTTCATCAGGCCCATTTTAAAGGTAAGGAAACTGAGGCATGGAGTATAAAAGAATTTGCTCATTTAAAAGGCATCTCTTTTGTTCACTGATGTATCCCCAGTACCTTTAACTGTGCCTGGCACACAATAAATATTTTTAAATGAATTAATTGAGTACCTATTGTGTGCCAGGCACTGTGGTAAACACTGGTTTGGGGGACACATCCCAAATCATGTGGCTGGCAAGTGGCAGGGCCAGGACTCAAACCCAAGTCCATCTGATTCCAAAGCCTGTGCTCCTTCCTCACAGCTTCCTCCCTGAGTTAGAGAAAGACCGTCCTGAGGCCTCAAGGCCCGTCTGCCCCCAAGGGTGTGGGCAGAACAGCACACACAGTAGTGTCTGGGCATGAGTCACATGCCTCTCGCCTGGCGAGTCTCAGCCCCAGGCACCCTGCCTGGGCACCCAGTTACGTGCCTGGGTGGGTGCCAGGAAGCCTTACCTCATCCGATCCAGAGATCTGAGACTGCCAGATTCACCAGGTGAGGCTGTGACCTTCTCAGCACTGCCTGACTCCTCTGGGCTGGAGACCAGATGGTCAGCCAGGGCTTGGGGGGCAAGTGGGGGCACCCCTGCCATGCAAAAACCCCACAAATAGGAAGGTGATCTCCAGGGCTTGCAGTGGGTGTCATCTCCAGGGAGGAAACAGGGGAACCCACCAGGACCCTGCACTGCACACCCCATTCTTTGATTACCTGCAGGGAGGGTGTGCACCCATTCAGCAGGACCTAACAGACATCGCCACCTGTTTGAGCGTTAAAACCTAAATACCTTGTTTCCTGCTTCATCACATCTGTCCGGGGTGAGATCCACTGACTCACCTCTGCCATCAGGGTATCCTGGCCAGTCACCTGCTTACCTGCAGCCACCTGCTCTGGGAACTTCATGACCTCAGGGCCCTTTTAAGCCATGGTTAGGACAGAAACTATTCTGACTTCCTAATGGGAGAAGTCAATGAGTCTATTCCTCTGTCTCTGTGCCTGACTGTATCTCACCTCCCCAGCTTCTCCAGTTTTTCATGAGAAGCCAGAAACCTTGGCTTCTTATGGGAGGCCCCCTGATATCTCTTTAACGTTGATGACTCATTAAGCCCATAAAATGAGGTAGGTCAAAAGATCACGGGCCACAAGCGTGTGAGTTTTCTCCTAAGATTCTGTGATCTTTTGAGATCCTAGGTTGCCGAGTCTTTGATTCCAGGATTCCACACAGGAAGTTAAGACCACTTATCAGACTAGGGAATTGTTTTTGTGATGGGGGCACAGGGAGGGCGGATGCTGCGATCAACCCCGTGTGCCCCCCCACCTCCCACCCCAGCCCCTCACTTGGGGTAGCTGCTCCCGATGAGGATCCGGCCCAGGGGGTACTCCATGCTGCCCACCGTGACAGGTGGACTGACGTCCAGGTTGCCGAAGGAGTCAAGGCTGGAGGGACCAGAGAATGGGATCTCCCGGGTCACATATCCAAAGTCAGGACCCTATGGAAGGACCAGCGAGACCCCCGCCCCAAGAAGGAGAGGTCAGTGAGGACAGGATGAGGAGCTTCTTGGAGCAGAGGGAAGATGCTGGGGGCCTCCCACTCCATGGCTCCTGGTGCTTGAAAAACGATCTCTGTCCACTTTTTACAAATCCCCCTGGGCTCTGAGAACCATGCAGTTAAAGTCAAATCAATAACCAAAAGATAACTGGAAATTCCCCCGAATGTTTGGAAATTAAGCAATACACATCTAAGGAATCCATAGATCAAAGAATAAATCAAAGAGGGAATTAGACAAGATTTTGAAGTGAAAGTTCATAAAAATCTGCTGTGTTTTGATAGCACATTAAAACTTATGGGATGTTGGTGAGGCAGCACTGCTAGGGAGTTGCCAGAGCTCTAGATATGTATATTTAAACCGAGCATGGTGAGGCATGTCTGAGTTCCCGGCTCCTCAGGAGGCTGAAGTGGGAGGATGGCTTGAGCCTAGGAGGTGGAGGCTGCAGTGAGCTAGGACTGCACCACTGCACTCCAGCCTGGGTGACAGAGCAAGACCCTGTCTCATAAAACAAAGTAGGCCAGGCAAGGTGGCTCACACCTGTAATCCTAGCACTTTAGGAGACCGAGGTGGGTGGATCACGAGGTCAGGAGTTCGAGATCAGCCTGGACAACATGGTGAAATCCCCTCTCTACTAAAAATACAAAAAAATTAACCTGGCATGGTGGTGGGGGGAGGGGGCGCCTGTAATCCCAGCTACTCGGGAGACTGAGACAGGAGAGTCACTTGAACCTGGGAGGCAGAGGTTGCAGTGAGCTGAGATCGCGCCATTGCACTCCAGCCCAGGCAACAGTGCGAGACGCCGTCTCAAAATAAATAAATAAATAAATAATAAAACACGTGTGTTTTTTAGGAAAAGGCTGAATCATCTTAGATTCCATTTGAAGCTAGAAAAAGAACAGCAAACTAAACACAAAGAAAGTTTAAAATGAAAGCGATAAAGAGGAGAGCAGAAATCAGTGAAAAAATCCTCTGGCCCCTATAGGCCAAGCCCAGGGCAGGTCAGGTGGGTCTCTCTCCAGCATACTGGCCCTGGCAGGTGCACTCACCTGCTGGGTTCATTGTCACCTGATCCCTCCAGGCTGGGATGAATGTCCCTGCTCTGTGTGCCCACAGACTGCATCCCATCACAGCTCCTACCTAGACTGGGGCTGTCCCAGCAGTGGGGGAGTGGGAGCCGGGAAACAGGCAGAGACCATGGGCTCACCTGGAGGGGTAGTGCACTCGAGGCTGAGTGCAGGGCTGTGGGGACAGCCCCTCTAGCTTTGCATCTTGGTGCCACTATTAACTTGCTGCATGGCCTTGGGCAAGCTATTTAACCTCCCTGAGCCTTGGTTTCCTCATCCATAAAGAGGAAATAATGATAGCACTTATCCATAGGCGTGCCCCATGGAATTCATGAGGTAAGCCTTGGAAGGCTAGGAGACAGTGCCTGGAACTCAATACGTAATGGTGGGTGCTGCTGTTGCCATCTTGTGCACAGGAGGTAGCACAGTGCCTGGCACGTGGTAGGTGTTCAGAAAACATTTGACACCTAAAGAGAGGACCTAGCTGTTAAGAACAAGAGCCATGCAGGCTCACTAAGGGTACATTCCCACCAAAAGGCAGTTTGGTCTCCCCAAAGCTGACCACGCTGCTAATTCCCCCTTGGTGACCCGTCCCTTCTCCAGAAGAGCTCTGCTGACCTGCCCCTCTCAACACAGGAATAATCAGGCGGCTGCCTATTTGCATGTGATTTGCATATCATTTCCATCTCTTGCCCAAACTCCCCAACAGCTCCCCAGTTTGCTGCTGTCCCACCTCCTGTATACTTCTGCCTCGTTTTCCTGTTCTCCAAGCCTCATAGGACCAGGCCCAGATGAGACTTCACCAGTGCCCCTCCAGGAGGACCCAACCAGGGTTTCCACACTCTGCCTGTCGCCACATACCAGGATCCTCTTATAGGGGAAATCCTTCAGGCCTCTGTTCCGGGGGGAGTCAAAGACCACGGGGAAGGATTTGTGAGGGGCCTCGATGTAGCCAAACTCCATCTCGTCCTGGGAGGGGAGAGATGAAAAAGTCATGGTGACCTTTTTCGGGTGGGTTACAGAACAGGGTGGTCCCCACCGGGCCTGGGGCAGGACAGGGCAGCAGATCTTCCCTAAGATCTGGTTGAGGGGCAGAGGTAGACGTGAGGCCTCTTAGGACCCCAGCCAGGTGAGGACTCTCGTCTGGGACCAGAGCGTTTGGAGGGCAGCAGTGGGGGCTGGGGCTGATGCAGGCAGCGGAAAAGCCCTCGCCCTGGAAGCCTGGCCCAGGCGGCCGTGGCTTCTCTAGCGACACGGAGGTCCATCAGGCACCTGTGCGGCTTCCCTTTCCCCAAGCCAGGCTGCAGGCTTCCCAGGCTGCCCCCAGCCCTCTTCTGGAGTCGGCTTCGGCTCCCACCTGGATCCAGCGGTCATTTCGATTTTCAACTCGAGGGCAGATGATCAGCTTGCAGTTGGCTTTCAACGTCAGGTAAGACATGTCCTCCAAGAATTTCTCATTAGAGCCGTGAGTGTCCATCACACTGTAAAAGGCAGGGAGAGGGGAGCATGCTAATGGCCTCTGACTGTGGCTGAGGTGTGAGTGGCCTTGATTCAGTTTGTGCTGGGCCCTGTGCAGCCTCTGGGGTACAGGGGTTCCAGCTCATGACCTTGAGAGGCTCATAGGCCCATGGGGAAGATGGATAAAGTCTCCAGATCATATCAGGTGACAGGAGCAAGGTGAAGCATAAGCGCAGGCTGTGGAGCCCAGAGGCAGGGCACCTAACCCAGCACAGGGAGTCAGGGAAGTCGCCACAGAGGTGACCTGGGGCTGAATCTCTTGGGTTAAAATAGCAGTGAGGGGCAGGTGGCCCCGTCTACTCCTGTTCCACACAACTGGCCTAAGCAAAGGGGTCAGGGTGGGATTAGCAAGCAGAAGAGTCTCTTTTTAATACCTACACACACCTAGACCCAGGGAAGCACAGCAAACCTGTGTGGCCACACCCTTCCCAGCCTTTTAACTTCTGTCCAGCTCGACTGTGGCCGTTTCCAGTGGTCTGACCTCTGGCACAGAGGCCTGGCAGGACTTTGCCAGTCGAGGCTGGTCCTTCCCTCAAGGGCATGGTGAGGATTCTGAGACAGCAGAAGGACCAGCGAGCTGGGTGAGATTGGGTTTGCAGTGAGACCCGAGGACTGGGTTCCCACGTCCTTAGCAGGCACGGGATTGTACCCATGTCACAGTGAGGATAGGTCTCCAATGGTCACCAGCAGCCTGTGCAGAGCCTGGCCCCACTGCCCAGACTAAATCTGAGATGTTCTGGGGCTGCAGCCACAGGACAGGATGGGCAGGAAAACCAGAGCTTGAGCCAGTGACCTGGGAGGGGCCTTAGCTGCACAGAGCAGGGTGGGTCAGGGTTGGGCAGGGTGGGGCCCCAGCCCACCTGCTGCTGTCCTGCCACCAGCTGAATTGGTGCCCACAATGAACCCATTAGTCTGAGTGAGGCACGCAGCCCTGAGGCAGCTTCTGTCGCTACCTCTGCACTCCAGACCTGGGGGAGGGCGGGAGGGAAGGAACCTCACCTGCACACATACAGCTCCTCAGGAGGCTGAGTGTTGGGCGTCATGATCCAGGGGGCCATGCGGAAGCCCACAGTGTCTGTGAACAGGGTCACCTCAGGCAGGGTCTGAGGGGAAAATGAGGACTTGGTGGGCCCTGCAGGGACCCCTAGCCTGCCTCAAGCCCCCCAGCCCCCAGCCTGCCCAGCCCTGGAGCCTCCAAACTAGGTCCCCAAACCCCTCAGCCTCCATGCCCACTCCCCAGTGCTGTACACACCCCCGTGTCCACCAGGCTGACACTGAGGGAAACCAGCCCCAGGAAATCGGCATCGGGGAAGGTCAGCCCCTCCACATAGAACCTGATCTCCTGCTCCCCCGACTGCCGCTCAACTTCATAGGACAGACGCTGGGGCCCCAGCACCTGCTTGTAGTCCGAGAGAGAATTCCCACCTAGGAAGAACAAGAATCAGGGACTAGCATGGGGACAGGGGTGAGGGGCTGCAAGCCCAGGAATCCAGGACAGAGCCGCCTTTTTGGTTAGAGCTGCTTGGGTTTCTCTCTGGCTCTGCCACGTGCAAGCTGTGTGGCCTTGGCTCAATGACTCAACGTCTCTGAGCCTCAGTTTCTTATCTGTAAAATGGCTAACATTTTCTCATGAGGTCAATATAAACTTTAAGCTAAATAAAGAGATAGAAGCATCCGGCACAAAAGGTGAAAACTACCCATGGATAAATACATATGCAAAATGTGATATATTCATAAGATGGAATTTTATTAATTCATAAAAAGTAATGACCAGCCGGGTACGGTGGCTGATGTCTGTAATCTTAGCACTTTGGGAGGCCAAGGCGGGAGGATCGCTTGAGACCAGCCTGGGCGACAGAGTGAGACTCCATCTCTACAAAAAAATATTTTTTTGTTGTTGTTGTTTGAGACAGAGTCTTGTTCTGCCGCCCAGGCTGGAGTGCAGTGGCGCGATCTCAGCTCATTGCAAGCTCCGCTTCCCGGGTTCACGCCAGTCTCCTGCCTCAGCCTCCCAAGTAGCTGGGACTACAGGTGCCCGACACCATGCCTGGCTAATTTATTTTATTTTTATTTTTATTTTTAGTAGAGATGGAGTTTCACCATGTTAGCTGGGATGGTCTTGATCTTCTGACCTCGTGATCTGCCCATCTCGGTCTCCCAAAGTGTTGGGATGAGCCACCGCACCGGGCCCCCAAAATTTTTTAAAATAGCCAGGCATGGTGGCACATGTCTGTAGTCCCAGCTGCTTGGGAGGCTGAGGTGGCAGTATCACTTGAGCCCGGGAGTTCAAGGCCGCAGTGAGCCGTGGTAGTATCACTGCACGCCAGCCTGGACAACAGAGTGAGACCCTGTCTCTAAAACATAAGAAAAGTAATGAAGCTGATTCATGCGACACCATGGATGAAACTTGAAGACATTATGCTAACTGAAATAAGCCTACTGTATGGTTCCATTGATATGAAATATCCAGATAGGCAATTCCAGAGATACAGAAAGCACATCAGTGGCCGCACACGGCAGGAGAGGCTGTCCCTTCACTTGTCGAGACTCTGCTTATTCCCTGGTGTCACATTAAGTGCTTTCAAGCTGAGTCCTCTGCCTAAACGTCCACCACTGGTCCATGGGAGGGAACATTCTGGCCCCTGCCAGGCTCATTTAGCTGGAATAACTAGTTCTGGGTCAGTTTGAACAGAGGAGGGTGAAGGGGAATCAGGAAGGGCTAGAAGCCTGTTGCTGTTTGTAAAAACAAGTAAGAGCACTCCGGGGTTAAGGAGTGGTACATTTTTAATTTTATTTTATTTATTTATTTATTTGAGACAGGGTCTCACTCTGTCTCCCAGGCTGGAGTACAGTGGCATGAACACGGCTCCCTGCAGCCTTCACTTCCTGGGCTCGAGTGATCTCCCACTTCAGCCTCCAGAGTAGCTGGGACTACAGGCTAATTTTTTTGTATCTTTTGTAGAGACGAGGTTTTGCCATGTTGCCCAGGCTGCTCTCAAACTCCTGGGCTCAAGTGATCCTCCCACCTTGGCCTCCCAAAGTGCTGGAATTACAGGCATGAGCCACTGCGCCCAGCCAATTCTTTTTTTTATTTTTTTTTATTTTTATTTTTGAGACGAAGTCTCGCTCTGTCACCTAGGCTGCAGTGCAGTGGCATGATCTTGGTTCACTGAAACCTCTGCCTCCTGGGTTCGAGTGATTCTCCTGCCTCAGCCTCCCGAGTAGCTGGGACTACAGGCATGAGTCACCACACCCAGCTAATTTTTTTTTTTTTTTTTTTTTGAGATGCAGTCTTGCTCTGTCGCCCAAGCTAGAGTGCAGCGGCATGATCTCAGCTCACTGCAACCTCCACCTCCCGGGTTCATGCCATTCTCCTGCCTTAGCCTCCCAAGTAGCTGGGACTACAGGCACCCGCCAACAGCCCCGGCTAATTTTTTTGTATTTTTTAGTAGAAACAGGTTTTCACCATGTTAGCCAGGATAGTCTCGATCTCCTGACCTTGTGATCCGTCTGCCTCGGCCTCCCAAAGTGCTGGGAGTACAGGTGTGAGCCACCGCACCTGGCCTAATTTTTGTATTTTTAATAGAGACAGGGTTTCACTGTGTTGGCCAGGCTGCTCTCAAACTCCTGACCTCAGGTAATCCGCCTCCCAAAGTACTGGGATTACAGATGTGAGGCATTGCGCCCAGCCTTGGCCATATTTTTGAAAACCACAGGCTGATTAATAAAAACTCTGGTGAGAAAGTTGGGTTCTGGGGCCAGGGGCAGGGCCTGGGCCTCAGCCTCGCTGGTTCTCACGCCCTCCCTGCCTGGACAGTGCTTGGCATGCAGTTCAGTCCACACTGATTGACCAGAGGAGGGAACGGGGGTGGGGCAATGGCAAAAGGAGGAACTTTGGTGCACCCAAGACACCTGGGTTGGAATGCCTGCTCCACCCCAGATGGTTGTGCCACAGTGCATTCCTGCATCTGAGCCTCAGTTTTCCTCTCCATAAAAAGCAACTCGTTGCTGAACCTCCTCCTTGAGGACTATATTTGGTACTGATGGAGTGGTTGTTTGTAAGCTGTAATGAGAGTTACAAAAAGGTGATGGAAAAAAAAAGAGAGAGAAATGGGGAGGAGAGGATAGACATGGATGGAGCTGGGAGGACAAGGCCCCGTCAGGCCACTCACCCCGGGCACAGAAGACCCTCAGTCTTTTGGAATCAGAGACGGGCATGTTCAAGACAAGCTTGTGGCTGTCGAAGAGCTCGTCGGGGCCATTGCAGCTCAGCACCATCGGGGACATGTCCTGCAAGTCTGGAGAGAGTGGCCCCCTTGAGATCACCCTTTCTCCACCCCGCCAACAGGATCCCCTCCCATCCCCGCACCCCACTCCCCAGACAACACCTTGTGTCACTCACCAGCCAGCGACATCAGCCAGCTGTGGGTGAGGTCAGGCTCTGTGGACCTGTGATTGTCCCGGTCACAGTTCACCAGCAAGATAGCCCCATAGCCCTCAGGGCCCCAGCGCCAGGTTTTCTGTGGCAAAATAAGATGCCTTGGGATCAGTGGGACCCAGGAGGCTCCAGGAAGGGGTTCTAGACATGGCCAGGGCGGGCTACTTTGTTAGATTGTATACTTTCATATTCTTGGTTTGCTTAAGGATTTTAAAAAGGATTATTTGGGGAATGGAGTTACAGATAAGGCTCTAGGCCCACCTCATCCTTGTGCAGTGAACAATCTGCACAACCATACACAATGGCTCCACCCAGCCATCACACTGGAGAAGCAAAAGTGTTACCATACCCAGAAATGGCCCTCAAAAGCTGGCTAAGCTTTCGCTCTGCCTGGGGTGGCGGGAGGGGGGGGTGGGCAGAGGCTGCCCACCATGACCTTGATGAGGGTCGGGATCTGGAGAATCTTTGGGAGACCCTCCTCATCCCAGCACTCTCCTGGGACCTGTCCCATAGATATCTCTGGCATCTGCTTGCAGTCCTGCAGGATCTGCAAGCTCAGGTCTGAGCCAAGGCGGGAAAGATGGCTGGAGCTCTCCCTGCCTCTGTGGCTGCTGCTCTCCCCAACACGCCTCCCCACCAGACCCACGAGGCAGGGCTCACTTTCCCCATTTCACAGAAGGGGACGGGGAGGTTCTGGGAGGTGAGTCTCAAGTCGCATAGCTGGCCTTCAAACCCAGGTCCTTGGGATTGCCCAGGGCCACTGTTAGCCTTTATGGCACTCTTGCCCACACCTCTGGGTAGATGCCACTCTGCAGTAGGGTCCCAGACATGATTTGTATCATAGTTGCCACCATGCCCAAGCACTCTTGTGCAGTGAACTACCCGCACTGCCATCCATGGCAGCCCTGCCCACCTTGTCCTCCAAGCCTTGTGATCCAGGCTGCCTCTCTGGAGTCTTTCTCTTCAAATTGTACCTTCTAGCCCTCCCAGGAAAGCTTCCAGATACTTCCTGTAGGGGGAGGCCCTGAGCCCACTCTGTCCTCCTTACTCTTCAGGCTTTACCTATGGCTGGCCACCATAGCCTCCTCTACCCGAAGGCTTGTCTTCTCCTTGCCTTCGGTCACTCAACAACCTTTTAGGAAGCACTCCCACATGTGTAGGGGTCCAAATATCGCCCTCAAACTAAAAAAGGCAGCAAGCAAAAGAACCAATCCCAATTTCAAAGTGGCACAACAGAGACCCAGAGAGGGTAAGCTATTTTCCAGCAGTCACAGCATGTTGGCTACAGGGTGTAGGTTAATATCCATTCATGCCAACTTGGCTGTCCCAGATGGGTTTCCTGCATGATTGGATACTACAGACCCTGGGAATCCATCATTCTTCCGTAGGGAGGGCACAGTCCACCCGGGACCACCCCAAGTTTGCCTTTCAACCCCGCAGTCTTGGAGTGCCCGGGAGGGTCTCACCTTGTCCCCCTGGCTTCTCTTCACCTTGCCTGTGCGGCCTGTGTCGACCTCAAGGGAAATATCTGCAAAGAGATGGAGAGGGGCTGCCAGGGCTCATCCAGCCCCATCTTTACACCCCTAAAGTCCAGGCTGGGCAAACTCTGACCCCGCCCCAAACCCGTGAGGACCAGGATGCCCTGCCTGGGGGTCAGACCCCACACTTGGGAGGCCCTTGTGGCTTGCCCTGTGGTTCTGGGAGTTGGAGGGACCCAAGCCTTTGGCTCTTGAATGACTTGCTTGCCTGTGCATGTCCACCTGCTAGCTCTTGCTGGCTTTGGGGTTCTAGATCATATGCTGGTGACCCCAAACTCTGGCAACTGGGGACATGGCCTGAGGTTGCAGGGGCTGGGTTCTGCCGTTCCATCGCCCTGGGCCCTGGCTGAAGGGAGCACGTTCCATGCTGGGTCTTGGAGGTCTAATGAGGGTATACGTGGGACTCTGGATGAAGGAGGCTTATTGTGGGTCTAGCTGTTGTTCACTGGGCAGTGAAGTTTCTAGATCCTTGTAGTCCTAAGGACTGCTGGGCCTCAATCCCTGTGGTTCCAGAGTGGACAGAAGGTCCCTGAGGAATCCAAGCCCCTCAGTGATGGAGGAAGCTGGCCATGGGTCTTCCACTCCAAAGAATTCACTAAGACCCTCAAACAGGCAACCTGGAGTGGCGAAGAGGGGATAGATGGTCTGCCAGGGAGCTGCTACTTACCGACACCAGTGAGGTACAGCATGCTGTGGCCCAGGGCTTGGTCTTCCTGCTCACCATAGTATGAGACCCTCACCTGTGGAACACAGCCCTAAGCCTGCATGGCCACCACCTTCAGAGGTGGCGGGGGCAGAGGAGATGGGGGACACACCCTGACAGCCCTACTTAGAGGCACAGGAGGCATGGAGACCCTCCCAGTCTCTGAAGTCCCAAGACTCAAGGGCTTCCAGCTGGGATTCAGAGCTACCTCTCCAGTAAGCAGCTGTGGAGCCCACCCTGACTCCCAGAGCAGGTGCGAGGAGCAAGGAGGGTGGGGGCAGGGTGGAGGGATGGGAAAGGCAGGGCAGCGCCCAGCAGGAGCAGCTGGCAGATGAGGGAGGAACAGCCGGCTCCATTGACCTAGTCAAGTCTCTCAGCTCCTCTAAGCCTCAGGTACTTCCTCTATAAAATGCGAAAGAGAACCTCCACTCCATCATCACAATCAGTGGTCCTGGAGCTTTTAGCATGGTCCAGAATCCATGCCAAGCCCTCCAGCCAGGTCATCCCAGTGAGCCCCTGGGATGGCCCCAGTCAACAGAAGACTGTCTGGGCCCTGCCTGTAGTCCCAGCAGTCCCAGCAGTCCCTCAGTTAGCAAGCAGAGGAAGTGGGGTCTGAGCCCACGGTGGGCTCCTGAGCCCCTCTCTCAACAGCTGCCTCATCCCTGCCCTTTCCCTGTCGGGGAGAAAAGGTCATGTCTAGGATTTGGTGGGTCACTGTGTGCCATGGGTGGCCAGGGCTGGGGCAAGTGAGGAGGGAATCATCTGAGCTTCGGGCAGGCGATGAGAGAGAAGGTTGGCTTAGGCGTGGGAGATCTGTGCACACGAAGGTGTGGACGTGTGTGTGTGCACCTGCATGGGTTGTTGCTGTGTGGTCCTGCCCACACGAGAGTACTGGGGCTTCTTGCCGGGTCTGTGTGTGGGCTGAATACAGGGATTAATGTGAAGTTGTCCATGAATCTGAGGGGGTGACTAGGAGAGCTTGTGTTTTGTGGGAGTACTCACGTGTACATGTGTGATACTGGAGCAGTGGTGGAGGTTTGCGTGTTTGGGGCATCTGTGGCGTTGTGTCAGGATACGTTTTGTGTGTGTACTGTGATCAGCTTTGTGAGGTTTGGTTAAGTGGGGAGTTTGGAATGGGAATTGCCATGGTGGGGCTCTTACCTTGGATGGGGGTGGGGAGATCCAACTCTTTTCTGTGAGAAAGTGGCCTCTTACCTTGAAGTCCCTTAATTCCTTACTGGCTGTGCCCACAGATACGACCATGTCTGCATCAGTGTCCAGTGGCCAACGGACCTTGCCTATGGGCTCTGTCACGTGTGTGCGGTTGTAGACCATGAAGATCTCCACCCCGGAGCTTCCAGAGACCCTGAAGCTGTTGGCACCCTTGGGCACATCACTGGCAGAGAAGGGAATGGGAAGAGACCCAGTGCTCAGAGAAGTGGCCACAGTGGGGTGGGGGCCTGGGGCTGCCTGGCTATTCAAACGGCACCCCTCAACAGCCAGGCCGGGGAGGCACAGGGCAGTGCCACTGGCCAGGAGACCAGCCTGGGCTGGGCTTCAGGACGCCAGGGCATAGATGGCAGACCCTTGGACACCCCCAGCCCACACCCAAGTCCCTTCCAGAACTGACACTTCCAAACTCTCCAGCTCAACAGGAAATCCACTAACCCACCACCTCTCACCACCTCCACTGACATCGCTGCGGCCCAAGCCACATCACCCATCGCCTGGATCACTAGCTGCTCTCCTGGGTCCGTGGTCCCACCCGGGCCCCTCCAGTCTGTTCTGTGCACAGCAGAGCGCGTTGTTCCTTTGCTCAAAAGTAGTGGTTTCCATCAAACTCAGTAAAAGGCAGACTCCTCCTGAGTAGCATAAGAGGCCCTTCTGATGTGCCCCTACCACGTTGCTGACTGCCTCCTCCCTACTATACTTCCCCTCGCTCACTTAGCTCCAGCCATGCTGGCCTTCCTGTTGAGCCATGAAGATGCCAGGCTGTCCTGGTACTGGTTGCTTCTGCTGCATCGACTGCTCCTCCCCGAGATGTCCACAAGGCTCCCTCCCTCACCCACTTCAGGGCTCTGCCTAAATGTCATCTTCTCAGCAAGCCCCTGCTCCCCCATCACTCCATTTAATGCTGCACCTTGCCCATCTTTCCCCCTCACTGACCCCCCATCTCCCTTCCCCTGCTCTGATTCTTTTTTTTTTTTTGAGACAGAGTCTTGCTCTGTCATCCAGGTTGGAGTGTAGTGGCGCAATCTCTGCTCACTGCAACCTCCGCCTCCCGGGTTCAAGTGATTCTCCCACCTCAATGCCAGTCAACTGTCCATCTTTCTGGTTGGCAGGTCAGCTCCACAAGGGCAGGAATTTTATCTGTTTTGTTCACAGCTGCATCCCCAGCACCTATAACGGTGTCTGGCACATGGTAGGTGCTCAATAAACACGTGTGAATGAATGGATGGATTCTCACTTTCTGCCGCTCTGCAGGGGGATTCAAGCCCATCTGTACTTGAGTGGAGATCTAGAACTTGACTAATGCCAGTACCCAGTGCAGCTTCTTTCCATCACCCAATACACCGCATTCACCTGATACACCAGAGCTCTGGGATCAAGAAATGGGTGTTGAGAAGCTTCCCATCTGCCTTGGCCCCAGCCTGGGGCACTCATCTTCTGGGGCCCCACCCTACTCCTCACACCACCAGCTACTCCCAGTCACAGCTGATTGGGACCAGCCTTCCTGGCCCGCAGCATCAGAGGGGGATGCACTGCAAATTCAGGCTACAGGGCACCCAGAGCAAAACCAACAGAGCCTCTGTGGGTGGCATCTCATTTTTCATCCCCTGCATAAGCGTGAACTGTGGCCTCTCTGTGCCAGGCACTGCACTAATCCCCAGAGTTCCAGGAGGCTCCTGGGCCCGTGGCGCCCACACTCCAGAGGGGAGGTTGAATCAGAGAACTACACACTGGTGCTTGTTCTTCCTTTGTATATCAGGGCTCTCCAACATCATCCCCCACGGCAGAGTCATCAGCCACCAGGACACCATCCAAAGTCAAGTCCACTTACAGACATCCACCTGACTACAAAGATGCTGCTGGAGGAATTTTGTCTGTTTTGCTCACAGCTGCATCCCCAACACCTATAACAGTGTCTGGACCATAGTAGGTGCTCAATAAACACTTGTTAGTGAATGGATGGATTCTCACTTTCTGCCACTCTGCAAAAGGGGTCCTTCTGCATATTCTCCCACCTTCATCCTTTCCTGGACCCCTAAAAAACCACCCAAATATTCAGCCCTCTAGAGAAACCAGACCCCCTCCGCAGCCTCTGCCATGATCACTTGGCCCCATCAAAAAACTATCTCCATTGACTGTGGTGACAACAGTCCTTATCACAAGTCCTACTCAGTGCTCCCTAATGCTCATCTCAGCCCCCCAAAGCAAAAAGATTATAATTCCCATTTTACAGATAAGGCAGGAGTGTGCAGGGGCCTCAGAGCCCCCGCAGACTGCTGGCAAGATCCACCACCCCCATCCCCCACTCCTGGCCTTATGATCACCACGTTCCACAGCACTTTTGGGGGCCTTCCCATCTTACCTGCTCTTCCTCATCATTTACATCAGTTACCATGGAAACCCCAAGTCTCCTAGACTCTTATCCTCTCGTCTGACTCCATTCCTCATCCTCCCCAACTCCCTTTCAATCCCAGCCACCGTCATCTGCATGATATCCTCAGTCCTGCCTCGGACAGTTTTCTTGACCTTGTACTCTAAAGGAAGCCTGCCCCCAACAGCAGGTATGGCCTCCCCTGCAGCCATCTCTATGGTGACTACTTCCCCCTTACTCCCTCCAGCCCCTGGGCCTGGAGGTGGGCAAGGGTCCTTCATGCTCCTCAATGTCCCTTCCAGATCATCATCTTTACTCCGCAAAACCGCAGCTTTGCATTGACATTTCCAGACTACCCCGCCCATCTACAGGGACACCCCTGCACACCGACGCTCTGTCCTCATCTCGAGGGTGCCAGCTCCTGCCATGTTCCTCAGCCTGCTGCCGTCACCAGTTTACACTTCAATGGCAATGTAGATGGTGTGTTGCACCCTGGTCCCTCAGCCCCTTGACCTCTCTTCCAATGCTCATGACCTCCACCTGTCCTCATCCCCTCCTTCCTGGGGCAGGCACTATAGAATGTCATTACCAAAAAACTGCACCCACTACAAGCTCCCCTGTTAGGAACCCACTCAGGCACCGCTTCCCAATATTCCAGCTCGCTCCTAACACACCAATGCCACCAAGCCTTCAGCCCAATGGGACGCTTGACCTTTGAAGGCTGAATCCTCTCTACCCACTTCCCACTGCTATCCCTCACCTCTCATGTTCCGTCTTCCCTTCCCCAGCATAGTCCCATAGATCCCATAGGCCCCCACTGTGGCCACCCCCTTGCACCACTCCCTTATCTTTTGCTCATCCTTCCCTCTCTTGAGTTGCCTGGCAGAGCTCCAGCTATACAATCAGATCCAACTCTCCATGCTCTCTGCACCTGCACCACGCAGCTGACCACGGTTCACTTGGATTCATGACTACTGACCTCAAGGGATGCATGATATGCCTGGTGCTCCTACAACATTGCTCCAGGCTCTTTTCTCTTTCAGTGTCCTGGAGGACTATGTCCTATCTTCTCCTATCTCCGGAAGCCTCCCCGCTCCTCTCCCTCATCACTCAGAGCCTTTAACCTCCCTCCTCCCACCACCTCATCTCCCTCCTGGGACAAGGAGTGAGCTGCCTGGGCTCTTGCCCAAGACCAGCCCTCCTGGGGGCACATCCCCTACTCAAGGGCATCACCGGCCTTGCCCCTTCTCCCCTCCCTTGCAGCCAGCACACAGACATGGTAAATATCACCCATCCCCAAACTCATTCTCCTTTGACCCCCTCATTTCTTCTGCTCCCTTGATACCTTCAATTATTTCTTCTCTTTGCCTCTGCAACCTGCCGCTAATCAGACTTTCCTCCCCACCACACCAAGGAAACCCCACCATTGCCAAACCCAATGGGTCTTTCCTCTTCTTCCCCTCGTTGACTTGTCAGAGGCACTTGGCCCAGATGATCACCTGTCTTTGAAACACTTTCCCACTTGGCAGCTGGAACATGGGCTCTGCTTGCTCTCCCCTGACTCCCTGGCCTTTCGTCTGACGCCTTTGCTGTGTTACCCACCTTACTCCCAACTCCAGGCAGTGGTGTGCTGGCAAATGTTTAACAACCAGCTCTCTGGAGTGGGGGGTTCTTATGCACATATATGCATACATAAATTTATTATAAATTTTACTGATATAAATAGTGTGTAGCACATAATGTAAAAATAATATAATACATATTATTCTTTATTGTAAAATGTATTGTAAATTCTATGTAGTCCATTGATTCTTCCAGATGCCCTCTCTTGCAACCGTAGTCAACCTGTGGTTGCAATTTGACCATGATTTGGCCAATGCAATTGCATCTCAGTCTGTTTATTCTTTCCTCCATAAGTTTATTGTCACTAAATCTGATATGTGACGTAAACGTTGGTTGATATTTTTGCTTACATTCATGAACAAGATGAAAGGGAAACAATGAAGATGCATGCCACCCTTCATTCATTCATCTAGGATGTGAGCAACTTCTTTGCTGAATCAGATAATCCTGGAGTAATATTTCATCAATTTTTGGTACTAACCACAATGTCATGGCTATAGATGCAATACACTTTTAAATTTAGTTGGCATTGTTAACCTGTCTCCATCACTTTCTGAACTCTAGACATTCAATAAAACCACGAATGAAGCCCGGATTTGTAGCCTCGACCAATGTCTGTGGTGTAAATACTCCCACTCTGGCCAGTTTCAAGTTACCAGCCCAACATCACTGGACTCAGAGTTCCAAAGAGATACATAATAGCACCTCGTGACATCACTATTTCCACTATATATAGACGACGGTAGAATGCAGTAAAATAATTAAGCAGTGATGAGTTTCAGTATTACTGCCTTTGTTTTTAATATAATTTGTTTAATTGTGTGTACAATTTAATTTTAAATAGTGTCTGTGTTTAACAAGGGGGTTCATAACCTTCCTAAAAAAATAAACAATCAGATCTCCTTGAGGAGGGACCCTGGTACATTGCCAACAACTTACACTGCTCATCTTTCTCCCTGCCTTCCCCAAGAGGACGCACAACTTTTTACCAGGGTGACTGTCACTGGGGAAAAGGAAGTAATCGTACGTTTCCAGTTCTCCTGCACACTGGCCCTGAACTGGTCTAGGAGACCCTAAACATCACTGCCGCCCACCTGGCAGAGCAGGGGCTCATGGAAGCCAGGTGATCCATGGAGATTCAGCTCAGGTTCATCTCACAGTGGGTCCAGGGA